ACACACGCGCATAGACACGCAGGCGTCGCCGATTGGCACTCGGTATTTCGTACCCTCGTCCATTCAACTTGTTTTGGTGCACGAGAGAGGAGAAGCCATACGCGGATCCGGGACCCGACGAGGACGTCGTTGGTCGTTACTATCGCGCGAATTCGCGTGATACGCGGCTCCTGAAGAGCGGCGGACCGACGTCCTCCACCGCCTCCGCGACGTCCCGCGTCCCATTGGTCCCGTGCTTGTCGGTCGAACGAGAGACCGAGAGATTGCGCGGAGTGGGAGAGAAGAGGACGGAGCGAGAGAAAGGGAGAGAGAAAGAGACAGGGAACGATGGTTGGACGGAGAGAGATTTCGAATTGGAGAGGGAGGCGAAATTATTCGTGCGTCGCGCCACTGCGCGCCACTCGTAAACTCGTCACACGCTCGTCGACAAACTGATGTAGGTATAACGAGAACTCTGGAATCAATTAAATTAATTATATCCTCAATTCTGCTTGCTGTACTGTGAGTAAAAACGCGAACTTCACACTCGATTATCGATAAGATAGAAAAAAAAAGTATGACTATTTACTTTTATGTAACATATCTTATATAACATCTTTTTATAACTCACTTTTTCATAATTCGACATTTTGATGAAATTACGATTAAAAATTATAATAAGAAATTATTGAATATAAAAAAATTGCGAATAAAACGTATTTTATATATAACTTATATGACAGATGTTTAATAAGAAAATTTAATAATAAATGGTAACCAAATTTATTACTCTTACATAAATACCTTAATGTATAAGTATTGCAAAAAAAACCATCCATATAGTATCTGTGCATGTATATATGTACAACAAAATATGTACAATTTATAAATAAAAAAAAAAATCATTACATTTTAATTGCGCTATTAAGATTTGTCATTGTGGAAGAAGGGGTTCGCTTCCTGTCCTTAACACAGTTTTCGTGACGTTCGTGAGTTCGTCAAAATTACACTGAAGTTTTTCACTTTTCTGTGTCTCTTCCGGCTCCAGAAACGCCTCGTTCAAACAGACATTGTTCAAGCTGACGGCGCTATTTGAAAAGATAGCCGTGCCAAGATTTGGATTTTTCATATCGACACTATTGGCACGATTCTTCGACGGAGACTTCGTGGGAACGTCGTCTTTATCAGGTTGCGATGACATTATGTCGCACGCCTTTCCAAGAATGATTAAACTATTCAATATACGAAAAGATACTAATATAAGATAAGCTAATAATAGAAGTATGATGTTAGCGGGTCTTGCGGATGGCGTCAGAGTCGTACATAATACGCGAGCCATGGCGACTCCAAGAGGAAGAGGTATAAAGCCCATTCGCCGCGCAACCAAATCTGAGGGATCCGAGAATGCCGTCTCTCGACGTGTCTGTGCCATGTCATAAGCCAAACTCACGGTATAATCCCTGTAGACGGTCGAAGGTAGCTCGTTGAAACGTGTGATGAACGCATGTTTCACCTTTACAGAAATACAGAGATGATCTTGTGTTTACACAAGATTTGTTAATGGTAAGCAAATGAGAAATTATAAATGATAAAAATGATCCAAATAATTTAATCGTTTAGTGATATAAACAATCCTAGTTCGATGTTTGAGCAAATATCTTTCTCGTTTGCATTCTCCATAATATACAATTTATTTTACAAACCCAATCAACGAGAACTTCTGCTAACAATAACGTCACGCAATCGGGTAACAAGACAGCGAGACGATCGCTATGCCATGCGTATTCTTTCATCGTTTGCAGACTCACTGCAAGAAGCAACATAATCAGATGGAACCTTTCTCTGACGTCGGCGCAAGATAATTGGAACAAGTTGTTCTTGTCAAACTTCTTGAAAACAGAACCCTTCAATTCTACAAACTAAAAGAAGTCCATGTGAAATACTTTATACAAAAAAAAGATGAGTACTTTATTTTTCCTAGCTCAACTTACGTTGTTGGACATCATAATTGTGAGAAGGGCTTTATTACTACTGTTAATTGCCACATTTAACGTCGTCGCTTGAAATAATACTAATATGCTGTGTAACACTTTATGGAAAAGTCAAGGTAAACATATTTTGTTGCGGCTTAAATCTATCTCGATCATGATCAGATTAATCGTAAAGATATATTAATTAAAGGATGAATTAATTAAAGGATACACACATAAGTGATGGCAAACAGGAGATGCGGTAATGTACCGAAATGTTTCGTACGAGTAGAATTCGAACGTGATTGTGGCTCAGTAGCGGTCCAAAGCAGTGCATCAATAGTGTCTTGGCCGAAAGCACTGAAAAGACGATCTCCTACTTCTAGCATATTATAAAATATATATAACTTTATAACTGATTGACTCTTAACTAAATGATACATCATGGAGGTGTCCACCTTCCAGGTTGCTGCCCAGCAACCTACCACTACAATTCCTTTCAATAAATCACATACTTCAGCTGGACTTAAATATCTTTCCGTACTCTTTGCATGATCTTTTTCATTTCTACCCCTAAAAATGAGACCGGTCAACATTTTTAGATAAACAAATATCTTTCACTCTAAATTGATATCTCTTGTATACCTCAGATAGTGTCGTAAAGGTCTTGTAATCACTGCCCACAAAGCCATTGCAAATCTTAGTGGTAAAAATGTATACACAAATAGAAAGGAATCGGCACACTACAATGACAAAACAATAAAATATCTAATATATAATATCAACTCAATTATTCTAACTTATTCAATTATTCTAAGAGATTTTAGTTAGTATTCTATTCTCACGGTAGTTTTATTTGTCGCTGTACCTGAAGGAATCCATACGCCATAAAGTTTTCCACTTCTCTAGGAATTTTCATGAACGAGTAAACTTTTTCCCTTCTTGCGGAAAATCTTTCCTCATCATGCTCTAGCTGATAACCTCTCGTTAATTCTGTTCTCAAAAATTGCATCAACGATACTCCTATAAAAAAAAAGAGTATATTTTTTAAATAAATCAAACATAAATTCAATATTATTTGAATAAACTTTCCCAGATAGCACAAAGAGTTCAAAAGAGTTCAAAAAGAATTCAGTGATATGTCATCAATTCTGAATTTATTTTAGATGCAACAAGAATTCTTTTCAGAAAAAGAATTCTTTTGATATGATATATTACTAAATTCTTTTTGAATTTTTTGTGCTATCTGGGTTTTTGGTGTGAAAAAATTTCTCATATTATTTCGTAATATTTTTAAGAGTTCATTATATTTTATGAAGATTCTTGAACCTTATTTATTTTCTCAAATTTTATAAGTTTTTTCAGAAATTAAAAAATGAAAAATCTTAGAAATCTTACAATAAAACATTTTTGAATTTACATGTATAATGAAGAATTCTAAAAAAGATATGGAAGAATTCTCATTTTTTAAAAATATATTCCAATATAAAAAATCTGAGAAAATTTTGTAAAAAATTATAAATCATATAGAAATTCTAAAAAATTATATGAAGAATAAAAAAAATTGTTCATTAAGGCTAATAACTTAATACTAATTCAATAATTTGTAATTGTTATTATAGCAAAAATTAGTAAGTTAATAATTAATAATACAAAATATTACAAAAAATAAGATTTATAACAAATACAAATATTAAAAACCTGCTCAAAGAAAAAGTTTATAAAGATTATTTTACATTTGTTTCTTCCTTTTCTTCATAGTTTCTCATTTGTAATAAATTTTATAGAAAATTTTATGATCCTTATTTTCGCAGGTGATTAATATCTTATCTCCTAGTGCATATGTTATGTACGCTATTGTATCGCCGATTTTTCTTTTCTCTTGATTTATACATATATTATACATATATTCCATTGTGCTGTACCGATAATTATTATATCTCTAACACACAGATATATCACACAATTTTCCGAGGGACGAACTTAGGACACAAGTCCATTGGAAAATTGTGTTGTGTCAGATGTTGCCGATTACTTACGTTGCTTCTTCTTTTGCGCATCTTGGCTGTCGGATAATTGCGGCCTATAGTGCGTAAGATCCACATTCTCCACGCGCTTGTCGTGACATGACACATGAGTTTTGGACTTGTCAGTATCGTATTGTCGGAATCTGATCGTCCTTTTCTCCGGCCAACTTTGTTCCATATTCTCATCGCTGACACGCGCGTTCTGCATCACTATGCCAACGTTAACCCTCAACGAGCGTCTACACAAAGTTCGATCATTCTATAATCCCGCAACGAGTCTCACGACAATCATAGAAGCATCCCATCTAACGATTGAACCTCGACACCGCGCTGTTCCGGGCGAACTGTCACAACACACCAACACGGAAACTACGGTGAAACGACTGGCAAAGTGGCAATTAACGCGCGTCATATATGACGGTGACAGCGCCGACAATGCTCTATCTGTTAACCACGTAATTCGAATTTCTTTTGATCCATACCGATCTGTCTCGAGCGGCTCTATTAAGTCACGTAAGATCATTTAATACCTCTCTTTTTTACTGATATATTTACAAAATCTTTCCGATATGTTATAAATTATAATTTTCAATAATTCATGTTCTTACATCACATATTGTGGAAAGAGATTATTGGAAGTTTAATTATCAACTATCGATAAATAAAATAAAATTATCTTGCGGGAACTAATATTTTATGAATTTGTAAAATATTTTATCAAACAAATTATTTTATATATTTATTATTTTAATATAGTTTTTACTATTTTATCTTAATATAATTATTATTACGTATCTTAATATGTTCAAAAACTGAGTTTATTTGAATAAAAATTAAAAGATATATGATGTATGTTATCCCTTTTCTTCATAAATGATGATTCTTGATGTCTCACACACATATATGAAATTTATTATGCAATGTTTTTAATTTAAACAAGCCAAACTGTATTAAAACAAGTTCAAATAAGAAAATATTGATTGTATACCATCACAATGATATGTCATATACTCCCTTGACTACGAATTTGATGTGAATCAACAACAATCTGATAAGTCTAAAGCTGTTTCTATATATATGATTAGGATAGAAGCTCTTTATAAAGAATTGTGCGATACGACATTCCACAATGACTACCTTGATTGCAAATAGCACTTCTGATCCTTCTCCTGATACTGCTAATAATATGGAACCGCCAGAGAGTCAAGTCACAAGAAAGTTTTGGATAGATACAAAGTCTTTAAATGTACCAGATGTTATGGATCCAGATGATCCTTTGATGACAAAATTCCAAAATGCTCTACGAGAACATCTTATTCGTATCGACAATAAATTAAATAGTGAAATATTAGAGCTTGTAAGTACCTGAATCCTTATTTTTTTAGACTTAAAGGATTTGTCTGATAAATAAAAAGAAACACAAAAAAAATGTTATTCTTATTAAATATTCATTGCAAATATTTCAGGAGGCTAATATAAAAGTTCTAGAGAAGGAACGTGAAACAGAAGGTTTACAACTGTATTATGCTCAACAGGAAATAGCGCAACAACAAAAGACAATTGAAAAGTATCAAAGCATGATAGCAAATGTAATTTTGCAGCGCGAAGAGAAAGATACACACGTAAAAAATGCCAAAGAGGTTCACAAAAATACCCATATTAAATTATTGGAAGAGAAAAGGAAAGAAGAGAATCTCATGCACGAATTAGAACAGATTACTGATTTGCAAGCACAATTCTCAAAATTGCAAACAGAGCTTGAAAATAGCTTGATTATTTCTAAACAAGTATCAAAAAAAGATAAGATAATTCAACGAGATCTAATTGCTCAAAAACAGCAGAAAGATTGCATAATATATAAACTCATGGAAGAAGTTTGGAAAATTAAAAACGAGATAACCAATTTAGACACGCAACTGCAGTTAAAAAATAAAGAAAAAATTCAAATAAATCAGATGATTACTGATGTTAATATTGATCTAGAAACGTTGCATAAGCAGCATACGAATTTATGCAACACTTGGAATTCTGTTGTGCTGAATATTACTAATCGGAATAAAGTTTATGAGCAACTAAATACAGAGCGTGAGTACGTAATCTCTCGATAATCTTTAAGGATTTGAGTGAATAAAATTGTAATGGGAGATAAAATAAGTTAATATAATAGAATCGTAATTAAATCATATCTATGACTTTAATAGGAAGAAATAACTGTCTTGATAAAGTTTCCTCATTATGAAAGACTGTAACAATGAATTGTTTCAGGAAAATACGTGAATCTTTTAATACGTTACAAACGGAAGTAGATAAGTTAAAGAAAGAAACTTGTAAAGAAACAGAGAACAATGAAAATCTGACCTCATTGCATACACGAATAGAAGACAATATTCTGAATAATATAAAATTGGTGGAAACCGGAAATGATAAACTTAATAATTTGGAATCTGAATTAGTAAAAATAGCAAAATTTAGTGAACAGGAGCAACATGAATTTGATTTAGCTCAAAATGTATTTAGAATATTAATGTATACTTATTGAAAAAAAAAAAAAACATAAAACATTGTTTTAAAATTAAATTACTAATTAAAATATATCTCTAAAAAATTTTATTTTTACACGATTATATATCATTTATAATAGTCTTGTATTTTAGGAATGGCAATATTTGTTACATGAAGAGGAAGAAATAGATAAAAAATTTACAAAATATCTAAATAAGCAAAATGAGTTAGAAAAAAATATATATAGCAAACTAGAAGAAAAAGTTGCGCATAACAAAGCGGCGCAATATTTGAATAAATTATTATTAGATTCTAAAGAGTCAGTACAAGAACAAGAATTGTTATTAGCAGAAACAGAAAATTCATGTAGCAAAAAATTATTGGAATTGGAACAACTTAATTCAAACATAACTTATGAGAAGACGGACTTCGAGGAACTCTTGCAAAATAATAATAAAAAAGAGAAAGAGATAGATGAGATTCAGAAAGAAATCAAGAAGCATGACACAGCAATCGAGAAGGAACAAAGAAAAATTGTCAATGTGAACAAAATTATTGAAGAGGTAAGAACATTAACAAAAATTCTACGCGAATATTTTACATCATTATTCTTTCTTACAGATATTATCGCATAGAGAAAATAGAGAAGTTAATCCTCTTGATATGAAAATAATAACCTTGGAAAAGAATATAGAAGAAATTCAGCAAAATGATCAGAAAGCACAACAATTATGGATTCGCCAAGAAGGATATATGATTACACTGAGTCAACAGAAAGATTTACAATTGCAAGAACATAATCTTTTTAATAAAGAAATTATGATTATGGAGCAAAAAAATTTGAAACTAGAGCATGCTTTGAACATGCTTGATAAAGAAGATTCGAACATGGAGAGAACATTAAATCTTCTGCAACAAAGAATAGTACAAATAAATTCACAATTAGTCATTCAAAAAGGACTGAAAGAGGAATTAGAAGACAAAAATTTTATTAAAAAAATGGAAGGGATACAAGCTCTCGAAGATGCAGAATTAAATCTAATAAAGATGCAAAACGATTTAAAGCAGTTATATGAAGAGAAAGCACTTTTAAAGGATAATCTAGATGCAGTGCAACAAGAAAGCTTATCATGGGAGAAGAAAGTAATATTTTAAAAATCAAATATTATATATTTTTATTTATATCAAGAAAAGTATCACATAATTTTTAATTTATGCTTTTAGGTGAAATTAATGCAAGAAGCGATGAAGAAATTGAAAGATGATCATAGTGATGGTGGCGATATCACAGTGATGAAAAGTGAAATTCATAAAATGGAAATGCGCCTCTTACATTTGCGTAGGGTACAAGAAAAATTGATCCATGATATGGAATTTTGTATTGCACGAAGAGATATTATATTAGATAAAGTTATGAGCAAACTTAAAAGAGATCCTAAAGGACAACATAATCAGAAAGTTATATTTCGTAAACGTCTTGCTGATCAAAAGTTAAAAATAAAACAAATCGTGAAGGTAAATCCTACTTACATTAAATATAGTTTTATATTACTATATTTAATTACATTAAGTAGCTTAATTGATGTAACTTCTCTAATGAAGTGTTTATTATAGGATACAAAAAAGATTGAAAATAGAATATTGGAGCTGGAAAATCAAATAAAGGATGCAGTAGACAAATGCGACGAATCGCAAACAGCATTGAAAGTGATGCAAAATGACATCCCAAATTTGGATCAAGGAATTACACAAATAGAAGCTGTTAAATATCGTGTATGTAATATGAATAATTAATAATTCCTCTTAATTTCATAAGATTCAAAATTACTATTTGTTTAACATTAATGTTATCATAACTAAAAAAAAATCTTCTGTTACATGCAGAATTTGCAGGCATTAATTTTTAAGCAACGAAAAGCTAAAATGCTACAAGACATTAAAAGTGGCCGATACAAAATGCTTTTCAAGAGTGAAGCTACATTAAGTGAAGAATTCCAAAAGGAACAGATTCTTCGTGATTATTTAAAACATGTAATGGAACGAACAAACCAAGATTTCCCTTTATTGAAAATCGATATTCAAAAAATACTTTTGACATTAGAGATATCATAATAAAATTTTACAATTATTAAAAGAATATACAATTATTAAAAGAAAAAGATAAAACAATGCTATGTATTTAATAACAATAATTGTAATTGTTTATAACAATTGCATAGTAAATGCTTTGATTATAAACTATATATAATGTTTTGATTATAAAACATATACTTATGCAGAGTGCATTCCTTTAATAAAAGCCTCCATGGATGAAATCGGAGTATCCGGTAAAATGCCATGTCCCAAATTACCAATATATCGAGTTTTACCAAAATTTGACACCATTTTTTGTGCACGAGCAATGATTTCATCCTAAAGACGATAAATTCAATATCTTTATAATATTTGTGAATATTTCTCAATCAATGATTAGTAGTAATACCGTTACTAATCTAACTTACTTTATTTTTCAGTAATAATTTTGTATAAAAGTCAATATCAAATAATTATATTTAAAATTGAAATTATAATTTTTTAAAAAGAGATAACATACCTGTGAAGAATACATTGCACAAGGATCCATATTCCCTTGTAATGTAACATTAGCACCAAGCTGTTTTCTGGCTTCTATAGGATCTACAGTCCAATCAAGACCTATAACTTCATAACTTTGATCCATCGCAAGAATTTTTAAAGAATTCATAGTTGCGCCTTTTGGAAAAGCAATCTAGATATACGTTTAATATTTATATATAATTTATCTATTTTAATTTTTAAAGTAATTTGCTGGTTAGAAATAGTTATGAAAAACATTTTACCATAGGCACTTCTGGAATATTTGCTTCTTTCAGTTGCTTTCGTACACGTTCGCTAATTTGTTTGAGATATTTAAAAGAATAATTTGTAAATAATGCATCATCCAAATAATTTCCATTGCTTTCAAAAACTTGAAGTAACTTGAAAAAAGGATATAACAGTTATTTCTTTTGAATTATGTCATTATATATTGCATATATACATAATATATTAATATATAAGAGTTCTTCCTTACAAAAGAAAAAATTATACGTTTAATTATATACCTGAGCACCAGCTTTCACTTGCATTACTAAGTAATCCACAATAACATCTGTAATCATCTGTAACAATTTATGAGTATCTTCTGGATACTTATATAACCAGGATCTCGCCTTTGCCATTGTAGAACTGCCTCCTCCTTGAATCATGTAACCCATCAGAGTCCACTGTATATGAAACAAATTAACTATTTTATATTAACATGTAATATATAAATACATTAATATCTCAAGGAGAACAAGAAAATAATGTCAATTTAATGTCATATTGACATCATTTTGATTTTCTTGTCCTCCTTGGGATACAAAAAAATAATTATCTTTGTATCAAAGAAATTTTTAGTACGTTCATACTTTAAATTTTTTTTTGGATAATACTAAAATACTTACAGGAGCTCCAGTAAATCCTATCAATGGCACTCTGCCATTCAACTTGTGTCGAGTTAATGTTATAGCATCTCCAACATACTTCAGAGCTTCATTCACATTTGGTTGTATGAGTCGTGATAAATCATTGGGATCAACTAAAGGCCGAGGTAAAACTGGACCCTAACAGATACTTCTTATTTACATAGAATAAAGAGGCAATAATGAACATGAAGTACATTAATGAATCACTTGATTGTTATGTGAAAATAAATAATTGAAAAAGTGCTTACTACTCCTGGTGCCATCTCAACTTTTAGGCCCATCGCCTGAGGGATCACTAGGATATCTGAGAATATTATACTGGCATCCAGATCGAAACGTTCTATCGGCTGTAAAGTCACTTGACATGCTAATTCAGGAGTTTGACAAACTGTGAAAAAATCGTGCTGAGCTCTGACTTCTTGAAACTCGGGAAGATATCTTCCCGCTTGTCTCATAACCCAAACTGGAATTCTGTCAACCGGCTCCCCACGTGCTGCCTTAAGTATCCGGTCATTTTTCAAAGATGGAAAATTGTGCTCAATCATTCCGATAGTCTTCTCCTTCACGTTTTCTAGAGTTTTTATTTCTGTATAATAAAATAATATTCCTCCATGTTTTTACCTCAAATTCTTTTTTTTCTATTTTAGATTATAATTATAGTAACTCGCAGAAAATACATACAGTACTTAGTTTCAGTTGTTGCGAAGCACACAGTAATACAGTAATTCTTTGCCGATATGTTTGCAATTTCATTCACTGTTTTGTAAATTCAGTACAAAATCTGACGATAAAAACTACCCATGATAGATCTGTTCTTTGTAACTACACTATATTATACTTTCTGCACTTAAAATGAAATAGATATATGATTAGATATTTAGAGAGAAAAAGAAAAAAGATAAATCGAAAAGTCCAATTGCAAAAAATAAATCTATTCCTAGTCATTTAATTTTTTATTTGACGTTATGCAGCACATTTTAATGCAACAGATGTGATTCATGTGACGTAAAAAATTATCCTTCAGATGTAAAAATTTTGTAAATTTCCTAAGGCTACCAATCGCATGAGTTTTTTTGATTTGAACATTTGTTCTTTGTAGCCTTTGCATTTCAAGTAAAACAAATGTACAAAAAATATATTTATTATTTCAACGCAATTAAAAGAGCTGAGATTTTTTTCGGAATACATCGGAAATACATTCGGAATACATTCGGAATATTATAACACGTAAATCTTAGCCAAAGTACAATATACGATCAACTATTACTGTTAGAAAAATTTAGAAGTTATATATCAAATAAAATTATTGAAATTTGAGCGATCTCTATGAATATTATTTATACAAAAGACTTGAATAATTAGAGTATATTAATAATTGGAATTTTTTCAATAAAAAATCGTCAAAGTTGTGAATATGTGAATTGATTAATCGCGAAATAATTGGCGCGTTCATTGGCTGACGCATATATATGGTGGGACAATCAGGTTTTCATTTGTCCGTGTTGACCAATAATGAATGCGCAAGTGTGATTTTTGAGATAAATGACGTGTATTCTAAAGCAAAGCATTTTCTTATATATCTTATATATTTATATCAAATAGTTTAAATCTGCAAAATTAAAAATTGAGCCAAAATTAATCACACTTTAATCACTTTAATTAGAATTTTCGAAATTTTAATTTAATCAATTTCTTAGAAATACAATCTGATAATTATTTTGATAATTTAAATCTTGAATCATTTATATATATTACTAAAATTTCTCTGAATATTTACATAAACACTTATACAACGTATAATATATATATATAAATAACTCGATGACTATTTCTTGTCAATGCTATTTTTGTCTTATTTCATATTTATCAGATTAAATTAAAAGATTGTTAAATGTATATTGCGTCTTGCGTCAATCTAGCTAGTTGGATCTACGGGTAAGAACCAATCATATTTGACTGATTCTCAGCGATTATTCTGAACACGACTGAAAGCAACTATTTATTGTTTGCTGTCTTCTACTGGGAATGTCAAATCAGCTTAATAATTTCTTAATCAAAATTATTCTTGATATATATAAACTGCAAAGGACAAAGGTGACTTGTGTTGCATAAACGAAATCTGGATAGCATCGTGGAATATATAGAATATATAAATTATAGAGATAGATCGTTGAAATATAGCCTAAGATCTGTGCTTGAAATTTGGCTATTTGGCACATATTCAGTAAAATATATTTTCTGCCGTGACTCAGTTGAAGAACTTTCGGATTTCGGTTCACAGTGTTTAATAAATCTTCAAAAAGAACTATAAAAATCTTTGTTTTACAAGACAGACGATGGATGACGTAAATATTAACGAAATATGTCTCGATAACATAAATGTTGATGTAGAAGTGGATGAAAATGAGGACGATTGGATAAAATTAAGTTGGATTATCGATCATAGTAATAATGGTAACAATTTTCAATCATCAGAGACACAAAAGGTGAGTAATTATATTATATAAAGTGATATGATGTAATGATAAATATGATGTAATTAAAATTTGAGTATATAGACACAAGTAATGTTAAAACCGAACTGAATCAACAAGATGCTTAACTTTTTCTATTTTTGAAGGATTCAGATAATGAGATTGCACAAATGAAAGATAATGATAGTAAAGTATCTTGTATAAATACAGAATCAGAAGATATATCCGATGGTATATCAATTATAACGGAAAGTGACACAGATGTTGTTAATACAAATCTCCAAATTTGTCAATTTAATCGTAGGCCATGCAAGTCTCTACAAATACTGGAAGTACAAACAAATAAACAGGTATTGTAGTAATTATATTTAGTTAAAGCTTCTTGCATAAGTATTCTTGCATTATCTAACAATGGAATATAATAAGATTATATTCCAAATATCTTTAATGTTTTTTTTAGATAATAAAGTATAAATCTCTTTTTTATTATAGAAAGATATATGGAACACTCTCATTGCTTATGTATTCGGTATAATTGTCGGTGTGACTCTTAGTTACTTTTTCACAATTTTTAAAACCTGTCCAGTCTCGAATGGAATTGATGTTGAAAGCCTTAAGACTGCAAGTCATAACATTGTTAATACTTGCAAGGAATTAACAGATGGTAAAGATAAACAAAATATTTTAAAAGGTCCAACATCTATTGTAGATTCACTTCATTTACATCATAATTTTTACTTTTAGTGAAAACTATGTTAAATGAAATTAAAGCACATATGCCAACAGATGTAAAAATTACAGAACAAATTTTAACACAATTTATCGAAATTACTGATTCTTCTAATAAAACAAGTAGTAAACCTATCACAATTACTAAGGAATTTTTCAATTCTACTTCATATCCGTTGGATCAACTTCAAAATTCTCTACATGTATTGTCATCCCTGACATTTATTTACGATGATAATAATTCTTTGAAAAATGACATTAATAAGACATTGGATATTGTAAATAATACAAAAACATTTTATGATACATTGACATTACTTGTGAACAACACGCAAGTTGTATTTGATCCTATTATCTTAGAGTAAGTATCAGTAATAAATCGATATTTAATATCTAAATAGTAAATTATTATTGTATATTTAAGTTATTATTATTTGCAGCTATTTGCAGCACAACAGTGATAGAATGCAAATTGCTTCTAAATCACTTCTCACTAATTTAATAAAAAAAGTGAGCAAAGTAATATTAAAAGTATATAATAAATATGCTAAAGAGAGACATAGATTGAGTAAAACATTGTGTCATTTGAAAAGTAAACTATCTGATGATAAACTTTTAAAACAATTGACCGAGAATAATGAGTTGTTTAAAGATCATGATAAATTTTGTTTCTCAAACTATATATCAAAAAATTTGGTTAGCGAAACGACTACAAAAGAAAATACAAAGACAAAAAATGTAAAAGAGCATATAAAAACCGATAATACAGTATTAAACACAAAATATGATAAAAAGTATACTCATAAAATTCATGATAATGATAAAGAAGACGCTTTGAAAAATAAAAAGAAGAAAAGACAAAATACAGACAAATTTAGTACTATGAAGTAAGTATATACTATAAATAATAACATATAATTTGTTTATTATAAATTGCCGTGTAATTATAAACTACTTTATTATATAACAGATTTTTGCGAAATGCCAGAAATGAGATACGTAACACTTCTCAGTTACTTATCTCTAAGGTAATAGAAAATATGAATAAATTAAGACATCAATTGAAAAAGAAATTATACCATTTGAAAAATATACTATACGATAATGAATTCTTAAAACAACTGATTGAGGATAATGAAGAAGATATTAAAGAATCAGTTGAGTATTGCGAAGGAAAGAATGATGACTTACGATCAGATAATAGTTTTGATATTATTTTAGCGCAACTGAAAGATACATGTCCACTTTCCACTAACTATTGTTCAGAATTTAATATTAATATGAGCATATTTGACACCGTACCGACTGTAAGTTGTAAACCTGTTGTATAAAATTTCTCATAATTTTTTGAATTGTAAATGAATAAATAGTATATGTATAAAATAGTAAATATATTTAAAAATTGTATAATATAAAAAATTTCATATGATAAATAATAAATTTGTTTCAGTATAAAACAAAGAATTATAAATATAAATATGATAGCAAGAAAACTGTAATGGATCACGAAAATTCTGTAAAAATTTTGCCTGCCAAAGAAACAAACAGACCAAAGAAAAAAGAATATTTTAAATCAAATGGCCTCACCAAAAATGTCATTAATGATAAAGCAAATTATGAAAAAAAGTATATACCCTCTCAAAATAAAATAAAGAATCACATATCGGAGCATACAGTTAATTATCATATGTCTAAACATTCTTCGTTTGATAGTTGCACAATGAAACAAGATAATCAACACTATATAAATACAAATGAAAGGAATAATAAGGAAAGGTACTAATTTCCAACAAAATACAATTTATATAATATTGCAATCTATTATGAATTCAAATAACTTAATGCACTTATTATAAATAATTATTATTTTTAAAAAGTAATGCTATTTTGTGCAGATCTTATAAGTATAGCAAGCATCGACAACTTGACGATTCGGATTGGTATTTTCGACGAGTTTATTCCCGTAGAAATGCACGAAGACGTGTGAATCAACCTAACGATTCGGATTGGTATTTTCAACGAGTTTATTCCCGTAATGCACGAAGACGTGCGAAAAATATATATCAATAGGATGCCAAATGATTTTAGAAAAATCGACGAATTATAAATTATTAACACAGATATATACAGAGATGTATGGAATATTTTTACATACAAATTTTTGTGTGAAGAAAATATTCCATACAGTATATTCACGTATTCTCAAATATTCCTTGAATATCCAAATGACTTTGTAAATATACAGATAATATTTATTAATATTGACAGTTTTATTCTGTCACATCAAAATATTTATATTAAAAAAAAAGAAATTCTTCTCTAAATAAAAAAAAAATGTTCTTGAAATTTCAAATATCATGCCTCAACAAAGAAAAGAAAATACAAAAAAATTACGTTCAGAGAAAAATATAAAATATGATGAAAGATCTAGTTAATGTGTGATATGATACTTATAGTTTCTGAAATCTTTCTCTTTAAAAAGTAATACTTTTTTAACGCACTATATATGATATAAATATATATATATGATATATATATATTTATATATTTATATGTAATAATAACTTTTTATATAAAAAAATAATAAAATATTTAATGAATGCTTGGAAACTTGATATAATGGATATTCAAGAATATTAGAAGTTCATCTCTTAAATCTTAGAAATCATCTCTAAAATGATTGTGTAGTAACAATATGTACGTGTGTTGCAATGTCAGAATTTGTATTACAATGTGATATGAAAAGGTATGCATTTCGGGTGATTTGGGGAATAAGAATTATTGATTTCATTTTTTTTATATTCAATTTTACTTATTGATCCAAAAATATAGTCAAAATAATTCTGAAAAAATTTAAGATATATTTTAAACAGAAAAAACAACAGTTGAATTTTATCATTATGTTAGCAAATTTCTCTTAATCTGTTTCTTATTAAAATTGTGGCTTTTAACACTAAAGAAAATAAATTGGTTATTTAATAAATTTTGATTTTAGATAGAGAGTTCGTTTCGCAAGCGCATCTTTTAAAAGAAAGATTTGTTTTCAAATATTGATAAAAATAATTAAAGCTATCTGTTTTTAATAAAAATGGATTGAAAGAAAGAAATTCACTGATATGACTCAACAAAATGATAAAAGCAATCATTATATTTTTCTTTAAAATATGCCCCTTTTCCCAAATATTAAAGCCAATATTCATAATCTTTTTTTTTTATATTTAAGATCGTTTTAAATATAGTTTTAAATATATATATATAAATGATCCATTTTTATTTCAAGATTGTTTTAAGTAATGTCTTTAGATGCTAAATAAGACTTAGATGCTAACAATGTGTTCTATAAAAATATTAAGCTAAGAATATTTTAACTATGATTTTCAGATTTATCAGATAAAATTAAATAAAAAGTGGAATTCAGCGTGCTCCCTGCATGCTCCCCAAATCGCCCAAAATGCATATCTCTTTGTTGCGTTTGCCATTAATGAATCTCATTAGTGTAAAAGATTAGAGAGTGACTTATTGCAGATATTAGGATCGAATTTAGTCTCGCGCAAATACGCGCAATTGCGCGCATGAAAGAATTTATACGTGTCATGATAATGATGCTACCAGTTGTCACGTTTCGTGCGAAGCACCGTCTTTGGCTGAAGAGATCACGAACGCAGGGCATTTTCTCGTCTCATCTTGATGTCGGGCAAGGAATGCAATGGTCGCGATTCTTGGGCACGATCTTTGCCCTCCTTTAGTATTCGGGCTCGCAAAATTAAACGAATGCGACCGAAATGCGCCGCTTTGTCGCACATGATCCCGTGCCAAGTCCGAAGGAATCCATGTCGATGTCTATGTCGTCGTCGTCGTGGAATGCGAATCCTCCACGATTACCAGCGAACTTGAACAAATTGTGAAAAGGGCTGGTTGAATCGAAGAATTGAGCAAACATCGCCCTGGGATCGCCGCGGAAGATATACATGGCCTCCTCCGCCTCCGCTAGCCGAAGCACCATCTTTCAGACCCTCCTCGCCGAATTTATCATTAACTTTCTTTCCGATAACACTTTATACATCTCGGTTATTTCCTTGAATTTTCCCTCAGCTTCTGTTTCCGGGGCTTCTGTTTTTGTCAAGATGATATCATAAGGCTAACTTTCTATATGCCTTTTTTATCTCTTCGTTGCTCTCTCCTTTGGCTATGCCAAGTATCTTGTAATAGTCCTTTCCCATCTCCTTGCCTATTTATCTCTATCCCATGATATTTCTCACGTATATGTTTTGCGCAAACACTCCAAGCACGTATGAACGACGTTCGCGACAATTGACAAGAATAATCTCAAATAGATTTAAACTCTCAATGCGCGTACCAAGCTGTACTATGATTATACCAAGTGGTTATCGACGAGAAAACGGCATTCTTGTCTATTTAATAGTTAGAGCATGTTCACACCTTAACAGAAAAGCAGGAAAGCAGCAGTCAATCAGAACTCATGCTAAATTGCTGTGTTGACGATAGGACTCAAGAATACACAAGTTACAATTTTGAACAAACGAAGCTTCTGCTCTCCGAGGAGGTTGTGGATCTCTGGATCCTCTTTTATTACATAATACTATGATCCTTCATAGACTTCATGATAGCTTAGTAAAAAGGCTTCATTTGTTTAAAATTGTAACTTTTTGAGTCGTTAACATAGCGACATAGCACAAAACCAACTGTTGCTTTCTATTCTTTTCTGCTTTCTATTTTTCTGTCAAGGTGTGAACGTGCCCTTAAATTGAATCGCGTCTGTGACAGTTGCCCGTATTTAATAATTTATCATCTCGTGTGGAAGAGTACAAGATATATGTATAGATAAGAGAAGTAAAAAGAGAAAATATACATTTTTATAATAAATGAATATATACTATTTATAGTTATATATAA